CCTGCAATAATTTTTATGTCGTACGTCCTGTTTGAAAGGCAACCTAAACCTCTCGCGTAGACTTCCATTGATACCGCCAAATTGGAAGATGTGGACCCTGTCGAGAGAGTGGAGAGTTAACATGTCGCGTGGAGGAAATCCTGGTGCTGCATACGTCGACAAATGTGAGATCAAGCAATATTTAGGGACATGCAAATAGAGTTGAAACTGGTTCGGATAGTTTCCATCTGTCCGGACCATTTTTCGGATTCGGATACATTCGGTCGGAACTATCCGAAAATTCTCGGATTCGGAAACAAATTCGGATTTTTTTTCTTGGAAACGAAAATGAATACAGTAAGGATACTATCCGTCAGAATCGGAAAACGGTCGGAAACTATCCGGAATTTTTTTCGGATATCCGCAGACATTGAGCAAATTTTAGAAAAAAACACGTATATATACATAACTTTTTCATACGGAATCAGATGAAGACAAACTTTATATCAACATTGTAGAGATCAATGAGATCTACAACTTTCTTATTGACTATTTTATTATTTGAGGTCATTTAAGGGTCTAAATATTCATTATAATATACCATATTAATTTTTACAAAATTTCAGATCTACAATTCAAACGACATCTGATGGAGATGTGTTCCATATCAAAGTTGTAGAGCTCAACGGGATCTACCACTTTGTAGTTTATAACATTTGTATTTGAAAGCATTTAAAGTATAAAACAAATATTACAAGTTTCGAAGATGTGAAGTAAAATAAATAACATCTCCAATAGAATCCGAGCCTTGAGCCGCGTACGTAGTTTTTGTATACTCCACTCCACTCGTCCTCCCAATAGAATCGATGCACGTCTCTCGCATATTTCTCCAAATAAACTTTTTACAAATGAAATTATGTACGTACCAAACATGCATTATCCTGCAATAATTTTTATGTCGTACGTCCTGTTTGAAAGGCAACCTAAACCTCTCACGTAGACTTCCATTGATACCGCCAAATTGTAAGATGTGGACCTTATCGAGAGAGTGGAGAGTTAACATGTCGCGTGGAGGAAATCCTGGTGCTGCATACGTCGACAAATGTGAGATCAAGCAATATTTAGGGACATGCAAATAGAGTTGAAACTGGTTCAGATAGTTTCCATCTGTCCGGACTATTTTTCGGATTCAGATACTTTCGGTCGGAACTATCCGAAAATTCTCGGATTCGGAAACGAATTGGGATTTTTTTCTTGGAAATGAAAACGAATACAGTAAGGGTACTATCCGTCGGAATCGGAAAACGGTCGGAAACTATCTGGATTTTTTTTCGGATATCCGCAGACATTGAGCAAATTTTAGAAAAAAACACGTATATATACATAACTTTTTCATACGGAATCAGATGAAGACAAACTTTATATCAACATTGTAGAGCTCAATGAGATCTACAACTTTCTTATTGACTATTTTATTATTTGAGGTCATTTAAGGGTCTAAATATTCATTATAATATATCATATTAATTTTTACAAAATTTCAGATCTACAATTCAAACGACATCTGATGGAGATGTGTTCCATATCAAAGTTGTAGAGCTCAACGGGATCTACCACTTTGTAGTTTATAACATTTGTATTTGAAAGCATTTAAAGTATAAAACAAACATTACAAGTTTCGAAGATGTGAAGTAAAATAAATAACATCTCCAATTTATACAATGGTAAGTATAAGTTATACATCTACTAAAAGATCTTGGGAATAAAAAAGATAATCATATTTGCATATGGATCTCTTAGAGGAACAGCCATGAAAATCGATTTTAACGTACGGTTGTGGGACTATTTACAAAATTGACGATATAAATGTTAGAGATGTTGAACTAAAATAATAAGCGATATCTCTTCCTTATCAAGAAACTCAATTTGAGGGGTTTATTATATACCGGTAAATATTCGCTACCGTATTCGGTCCGTCTCGTATTCGCTCCATATCTGTATTCGATAATATTCGATTTCATTTCCGTATCCGAATTTTCGATTCCGAAAAAAAAAAATGAAAACGAATATAATAAAGCTAGTTTTCGTCCGTTTTCGATCCGTTTTCATCCCTACATGCAAATAGTAATAATTAAGAATGCAATTAATTACTTTATCCGTCTTATAAAGAATTAATTCCTGACAATGTTCATGTTCAGATTTAGCTACGAGTTGATATTTTATAAAACGAAAAGAGTAGAAAACGGTTAGCCCATCTCCTGACAACTCAGCATGTAGTGTAGGGCTTGAGAGAGCCTAGTAGTAGAAGAGAAATCTCAGGCATCTAATTAACTGCAATTAATGTTATTTATCGATTTCGTTAGCGTGGATGATCTGAGGGTTCCAATGGCAGAGATGTCTCAGATTAATTAGCATAAACTGGGATTAGAGAAATAACATTAATTGCAGTTAGCGTGGATGATCTATATAGTTATATAGGATTTCTAACTTGCAAAATATCCCTGGCATGTGTGACTTAGCATCACTCGGTGATCTTTGAATAATGTACATATATCTACTCCTGCTGGACCTATTTAGGAAAATGGTAGAAGATGACCAAGCAGGAATTCAATCAAACACGGCCAGACGAAATCTCAAGGCAAGTCGAATGCATCTTAGATTCATCATGATAGGCCGTGTTTAGTTGTTTGGCCAAATTTTTTTTACGTGTACGGACACACATTTAAAGTATTAAACGTAGACTAATAACAAAACAAATTAAAGATTCTGTCCGTACTGCGAGACGAATCTATTAAGCCTAATTAATTCGTCATTAGCAAATATTTAATGTAAAACCACATTATCAAATCATGGCGTAATTAGGCTCAAAAGATTCGTCTCGCAATTTACATGCAAACTGTCCAATTGGTTTTTTCGTCCATATTTAATATTTCATGCTTATGTCTAAATATTTGATGTGACGAATTTTTTGGAAGTTTGTAGGGAACCAAACACTGCCATAATCGTAAGACTTTTCTCTGGTTCTCAAGGATGCGTCCCTTGATTTTTTTTCTTTGGGAAAATTAATTATTCGCGTCAACTCATTTGCTGTATTTGCATCCAGCATCCTAGAGATATTGTTCTTTTTGAGGTTAGGTTAGGACTACTGGTAATAAATACAGCATTGGCATTTGTCGTTTCTGTTGAAAATTTTCTTAGTGACAGAAATGGGAACTAGCTAGCTAACTTCTGCAGGGATATACTAGTAACTAATATAAGTGAAGAAATTAGGGAGCTGATAAATTGATCAGTTCTGCCACTAAAAAATACAAGCACAGATGCTAGTCTACCGCTCCCTTTTTCACAATGGCATGCGGTAACTCTGTTTTTACATAATAGAATCAAGAGAAATTTGCCCCTTTAAATTGCAGTAATGAAAAAAAAAGTAGAAATAAGGAAAATACAGGGTTCTGACATAAATACAAGTGTAGAACAGATGATTGTAAAACATAGAAATGACCGTTTGATTGAACCACATGAAAAACATAGGAATTGGATGAGAGAAGACAGAAATGAAGTTTTTCAAGAGATTGGAACTCTTGCTAAGATTCCTCTAAAATCTCTATAGTATTGTCTATTGCATAGGAATTTCAAATGATAAAATATGATTCATTCTTTCGTTTCAAAGGTTTTCATATGAAAATTTTCTATAGGATTGAGACCCTCAAAATTCCTTTGTTTTTACTTAAAAATCAAAGGTCCTTAGAGTCCTTAAGAAAGTATCTCGATATCTAAATTTTACGCTAAACATTTTGGTACTCGGAGGTACCAGGTTTTATACCAGAATCTCTTGATACTTTATCAAGAATGGTAAGATTACCATAGAAACAAACTACTGGTCTGATGGTGGCCTGGCTATATGATTTCTTACTAGGACTGTTCAACAAATCTAGTTTAGTACGGTAAGAACTCATTGGAAGACTTTGTCAAGGCCTCATCATTCAGTGGTCAGCAAAGAAAACTTCTTTGGAGAACACATGCTAACCAATTAAGCACACAAGTAAGCCATGAATGGCAGTGAAAAATCCCATCCAGAATTATTCAGGCATTTGTCTGGAAAAGTTGCAAACGAATGACTTCTGCGAAAGGGGATCGCATTGTCACCAGAAAAGTGGCTATCCTGTGCAGTGCATCTAGCTATTAATCCTGCTTATGATTGAGGCACGAAACCATCTATTCAGAATTTCCATGGTTAGTCCTCCGTGTAACATCATTCGTTCCAATTATCTGAATCAAATAAATCGCGTGATAACTTACTACTCTCTCCGTTTTGGTTATAAAATGTTTTGACTTTTGGTTAAAGTCAAACTCTATAGTAATATTTACATTACTAAATTAGTTTTATTAAATTAATAATTAAATATATTTTTATAATAAATTTATCTTGGATCAAAAAAAATATTACTATTTTTTCTATAAATTTAGTTAAACTTAAAATAGTTTGACTTTGACCAAAGCCAAAACATGTTGAAACCTGAAATGAAGGGAATATATATTTTCTTCCTATACAGTTATTAGAACTACTAGATCTCCTGCCCAACATGTTCTTATTCTTTTACCTCCAGCCAAGAAGATATCATATCAGCATCTGAATTATCACCAATTTAGTTCTAGATGCATGGTTTGATGAAGACCGACATGGCAACAGGACAATGCATGCAAGCCCTTCCCATGGAAGTATGGAACAGTTGGTGTGCATATGATCAATGCAGGTGTAAACGCAAAAAACCAGGAATGCATCATGCATGCATGTTCAAAGGGACAAACATTGCGTAGCCAAAGACTGCCTAAGCAACTAGGGGAATCTGTTTGAACTCGCATCGCAGTCTGCTCCCGACCACGGAAAACATTTTTCAAAGTGGACCATTTGGGGTGGCAAACTTATACTTCTTTTTTTCTCTGTAGAATTTGCAAACTACTTTTCCAGACCAGCTAACTTTGCTGGGCTCTATGGATCGACTATGGATCCTGCAGCATTGATCACTTTGTCACGAGTCATGACACCTCCGTTTATGCTCCAACACTATAAATACGTCGGGTAGCTCACCCTTTCACCTGCAACTCTGCAATAGCTAGCTTGCAACCTCGCATTCTCGCTTCAGGACCTTTGCTCTCTGACAAACCTAAGCTCGATCATGCCTGTCAATATGATCTCCAAGTACGGCATACATGTTGCATATATTTGATCGATGCATATGAACAGTAGCAGTATATAGCCTGTAGTGATTTCAAGTCATTTCAGTTAGTCTTTCCCTGAATTTGTTTGATTCCTGCATCTGTAGGTTACTTGAGAAGGCTGTTCTTCCAGCACTGGATGTTGCACCTCCTGTAAAAATAGGAGGTAGATTTATCATACTATGGTTCTTCTTAATTTGTTGTTTGTAGCATTCTTGCCATCTCATGGCACGTTTAACTTACTTTTGCATGCGTGTTACTACTACAAAATTCAGGGCCTCGGCGTACGAGCGTGCTGCGCAATCCAAACATGGAGAAGCTTCAGAAGGGGTACTTATTCCCAGAGGTACAGAATTAATCACGATTTCACCAACCTTAGTTTGAGCATATGATTCTCCAGACACTTGATGATAAATTGATAATATACGTTAATTTGTGCTCCTCGTTTTGATGGTTTAGATTAGCATCAAACGTGAGGAACACCTGAAGAAGTACCCAGATGCGAAGGTGATAAGTTTGGGTATCGGCGACACAACTGAACCCATACCAAGCATCGTAACATCAGCTATGGCTGAGGTATTTATTTACTCTACTTCTGTAGTTCTGTTTTCTCTCTTGCATTGGAGCATGCATGCATGTTTTTCCTTTTCTGAAAAAGGAGAAGCATGTGTAAAAATGTTTAACCAAGGAAAGCTACATGAGGAATCTCAAGCAACAAATAGCTGGTCATCTGGTTCTTAATGGCGTAGCTAGCTAGATGGCACTGTGGTCTATGGACCACCTAAAAATTTGATCAAGATTAAAACTATAATATATGTGCTAGTTATTAATATAATAAAAATTGTATAGTGGACCACCCATTTAATTGGCCTATTACATATAGATGGATCACCTTTACTTTAAATCCTAGCTACGCCACTCTTGGTTCTTGTCATAGCACGAATTAAGAATTTAACATTTGGACACATGGTTGTTCTATGTTTTCCCGTGGATCATCTTTACTCTAAATACTAGCTACGTCATTATTGGTTCTTGTCATAGCACGAATTAAGAATTTGACATTTGGACACATGGTTGTTCTATGTTTTCCCGTCCATCAACATTAACCTTTTGTTGTTGTTGTTCACCAATGCAAAGATTCTCTACAATCGATCTGCTAGCTGCAACAGCATTTTGTTAAACTGAGCACGAATACTAAAGCAAAGCATACCATTTTGTGGACCTCTGCTTAGTACACCTTTCTTTTAATAAGTACACCTTATTAATATAATAATTATTGTTTTAAACAAGAGTGAAGTCCACTCTTGGATTATGAATCGTTTTTAAAATATTTATCTTTTAAATATGGTGACTACATGTACAGATTAGTCTTAAAAAATATTTTAATAAAATAATATATTTGTTAACACTTTTATACAAATTATAATGAAAAATAATGGTCAAAATTATTTTTTCAGAGACCGTGCTCTTATCCAAACTGACAAGTATTATCAACCCGTATGGAGTATACAAATGTAGCAAAATGGTTATACGTAGTGGGGCGAACTAGGGTTAAAAACCAGCCTAATATTAACTACTTTGTTTAATATTATATTTTTTTGTCTTAAAATAAATGTGCACCGATGAGATGGGTGCAAATTTGCATTAACCTAAAATTAAGTGAATAAAATAAATTACTTGGCCCAACCAATATTCAGTCTGTTAGCCTTCATTTTGATTTATTTTTATGACGCTACATGCTTGCTCCACCTTTTATATGAGCCAACGTACTGGTCTGAAAATTCTTAAGCTTTTTACAAAAGAGAAGCACTCAAGCAAGGGCTCACTTGCGAAGAACTGCACAAGAGGTTTCGTCCTAAATATAGAAGAGGATTACGTTGTAATATCTCCGTCCCATAAAAATTGTATTTCTAGCTCCAAGGCTTTGTCCCACAAAAATTGTATTTCTAGCCATGTGGGGCCCAACCAATTGATTCATCTATATAAGTTTCCTTCCATCCCACATAATTTGGGCTGCTAATGCTTGTAATTTTATTAAGTATGCTAATTATATGGGTTAATTCTCTCAAACTTCCTTTTAATCATTTGTATATATGGAATATGTGCATGCAGTGGGTTCATTAAATAAGGTTATTGTGGTCATTTTTCAATCCTACTATTTTGTCCTAAATTAGCTAGAAATGCAATTTTTATAGGACGGAGGTAGTACTAAACTACTACTAATATATATTTTTTTTCAAGGAAGTGTCAAGATTCTTCTTCTCCATCACTTGGAAATTTAGCTGTACCTGTCCTTTTGACTTGTCACACTCTTATCTCATGCCAAATTTGTTCACTTTTTCTACCAAAAAAACACAAACTTTGCACTCTCTATCAACCCCTTTTTCTCTTGTCAGAACCAAGATACCCTGATGTCACTGCAGAGACATCACCTCATCCACATCATGCATGCCTTCCAGTTCTCCCTCTTTTCCTCATATACTGCCATAATCTCCTGCAATTTTAGTGCAAGTGCCAAACTGCTAATGGGAAGATGACAAGGAGATTAGGAGAAGAGCACTATCATATCTAATTATTCCATGATCTGTACTACGTCCACTGCATGTGCATGGCTGCTGCTGATTTAACTAAATATGTAGTGAGCTAGCTTTGGAGAAAGATTTGTTGTAGACTAGTATCGCATTTGTGGATTGACTTGCAATTGGTGGTCAATTAATCCTAATATACAACCTAAGTGCTTTCAGATCACTGGCTGTGACACCGGCGGTTTTCTGCTCGTGATGCTGTTGACATGACAAAATGGAAAATACAATCCGATGATTGCGACTAAGGAAAATTTTAAGCTTACTTGACTTAGGGTGGGCCTATAGGGTATTGGTTTATTCCTGGAGTTAACCAATCCTAGCCCAAAAGAATTTATCAGAAGAAAGCCTAAAAAGTTCAGATTTTTTTCAGATACAATTTACTTGAATATATTTTTCTCTTAAATAGGATGTTCCATTTCCATTTTGTAGAGTAAGAAACATTTTATCCTATTTTTTGCAGTATGCTCTTGCATTGTCAACTCCTGAAGGATACCAAGGTTATGGACCAGAACAAGGCCACAAGGTAATACAAAACACTGAAAACCCCCAACTCTGAAGAAATCTAGGTAGAACATGGTTTATCATCCTTGTTTTGAAGAACAGGTTTTCATCCTGTTTGCAAAGAAAATACTACAGAGATTTCAAAGAGATATAACTATGACATTTCACTAACACAAGATATATATGCTCTTTGAAATGCATGTGCAGAATCTGAGGAAGGAAATTGCTGACAAGGTGTACCCTGACATGGGGATAAAAGAGAGTGAAGTTTTCATTTCAGACGGAGCACAGTGTGACATTGCTCGTCTTCAGGTATTGCAAGTTATTTCGCGTGCTTTCCTACTTACCAACTGATCAAATTCACTTAATATTCTGAGATGTGAAATGATACAAATCTCATCTTTCATCTTCCTTATCTAAAAAAAAAAATCTCACCATTCTTTCTCCTGGATTCAGACGCTGTTCGGTCCAAACGTCACCATTGCCGTCCAAGATCCCACATTTCCGGTATAATAACAAACCTATCCATTAATTACCTGTGTCTAATTGCGAATAAATAAATAAAGTAGTAGGATTATATGCGTAATAAGTAAACCATTCGTGCAGGGGTACGTGGACAATGGCGTGATCATGGGGCAGACCGGCAAGGCGGACGACGGCGGCAGGTACGCCGGCATCGAGTACATGCGGTGCGCGCCGGAGAACGCCTTCTTCCCGGACCTGTCGCGGGTGCGGCGGACCGACGTGATCTTCTTCTGCTCGCCCAACAATCCGACGGGGCACGCGGCGTCGAGGGAGCAGCTCCGGCAGCTGGTGGAGCTCGCGCGGCGGAACGGCTCCATCATCGTCTTCGACTCCGCCTACTCGTCCTACATCTCCTCCTCCTCGTCGTCCTCCACGCCGAGGTCCATCTACGAGATCCCCGGCGCGAGGGAGGTGGCGATCGAGGTGTCGTCCTTCTCCAAGTTCGCCGGGTTCACGGGCGTCCGGCTGGGGTGGGCTGTGGTGCCCGACGAGCTGCTCTACTCCGACGGGGTCCCCGTGGCGCGGGACTTCGACCGCGTGGTGTGCACGTGCTTCAACGGCGCGTCGGGCATCGCGCAGGCGGGCGGGGTGGCGTGCCTGTCGACGGAGGAAGGCCGCGGCGCAGTGGCGCGGGTGGTCGGGGTGTACAGGGAGAACGCGCGGGTGCTGGTGGAGACGTTCAGGTCGCTGGGGAAGGAGGTGCACGGCGGCGGCGACGCGCCGTACGTGTGGGTGAGGTTCCCGGGGCGGCGGTCGTGGGACGTGTTCGCGGAGATCCTGGAGAAGACGCACGTCATCACCGTGCCTGGCAGCGGGTTCGGCCCCGGCGGCGAGGGCTTCATCAGGGTCAGCGCCTTCAACAGCAGGGACAAGGTCCTCGAAGCGTGCCAACGCCTCAAAAGCTTCCTCGCATGATGACATTTTCTTCAGTTATACATGTACTACTACATACATACATACATACTCACTCCAGACTCGTAAAGAAAGTCGTTTAGGACAATATTTAAGTCAAACCTTAGGAATATAAATCATGAATAACTCTCAATTTGTTGAGTTTGAAAATGTAAAAATTATATGAATAGATTTGTCTTGAAAAATACTTTTATAAAAGCATACATATATCACTTTTTAATAAATATTTTTATAGAAACAAGAAGTCAAAGTTATGTTTTATAGACCGTGTCGCTGTCCTAAACGACTTCCTTTACGAGTCTGAAGGGAGTACGTAATAGCTTTGCGGTGAGCTGACATTTATACCGTCTCTGACCGGCCAAGTCATGAAGTCAAAAGTAATGCAGGTGTTATGTATCAATCAAAAATACATGTAAGATCATAGCTCAATTTGGAATAATACAAAGTGATTTCAGGTATCTAACCTGTCCATTGCAATGACTAAACCAGCTGCTGTCCATTGCAATTTCGTTTTGTTCATGTCTGTACTTAAGATTGGAACAGAGAAACTCAAATGATTTTAGCAAGCGCAACGCAATAAGGGTACTGTGATTCTTTCTGAGCCATGATCTGTCCTCAAGACCATTGAAGATTGTTTTCATTGGACATCGGAAGATCCTATTTTGGCTCGAATCACAGCACTTAGCCAAAAATTAACTTACTCAAGTACACATTTAAAAGTGCTGGACAGCTCCAAATGTTCCCTTCTGACGCCATTTGTTACTCATCACTTTCACTTTCCTCCTCACTTTCGTCATCTTGGTTAAAGTTCAGGTGGTTCAGGTTTTCCTCTAGAGGTGGCAAGCCATCGTCGGAGTCAGCGTCAGATCCTTCCTCTGTGCTTTGGTGTGATTTCTCTGCCGCTATGACGCGGAAATATTGAGGGTCAATATTTGCACTCTAAAAATGGTTAGCTTATGGCAAAAATAGCTGAGATGTAATTATTACCGTTTACAGGTGACTTTGGAACATTAGAGTTACTTGACAACCAAGAATTCTGCACATTGATTATCTCGGTGCCATTTTCACACTGCGAGTATGCTTTGAGCAGCTCTCTGCACATCATAACAACAAAAGGGTGCGAAAACATCTGGTGACACAAATCTAAAATAAATATGCAGTACATAGTATCCAGTCTTCATAAACATAATGCAGTAACAGAGAAAGTTGCAATCATTTGACCATCATATTCAGAAATCCTTGGGTACCATGGGTTCTTAGCATGATTCAGTGTACATTGTCGTCTGAAATTTGCTGGATAAAGGTAACAACACCGATACAATATAATATGCAGGATAGCTTATTTTGTCCTGTCATCACCCCAGATTAGGCCAGTAATTAGCATGTTGAAATTTGAAATGTAAACTAATATGCTTCAATCTACTTAATTGCTGTGTGCAGGTGCTGGGTTTGCAGAAAAGTAGTATATTATATATGAATATGCACTCCCTTGATCATAAACAGATACTGTGTGTCCAAAATGCACTGCCAGTCTATGCATGACAATAAAATATTTCTCTGAACTAACCTGTTAACTGACAAGAACGAGTGACCCCACTTGAATTTCCCAAGCAACAGATGCGCTGTCTCTTCCTCCCCACTGCAAATATGTATGTACCACAAGGTAATGCCTAAGTATTAAGTAACTATCCCTCCGTTCATTTTTGAAAGGCACAAATTACTTGGTACAGTCTTTCAAACTGAGCTTTCCCCATAATCTATTGCATTACTATTATTAATCAGAAATTCATGACCATATGTAAGTACATTGATGTACAAATCTAGTGGCATCATCCTTATATCACTAAACCTATAATTAGCATAATTGTTGACCAAAACAAAGTTTGAATCTTGAAATATGTGTGTGCCTTACAAACTTGAACAAAGGGAGTAATATCCTGAGCTACAAATTCACATCAAGAAGTTTAGCATGGTAGAAGGATTAAATGCTCTAAGTTAGTTAAACTTGAAATGCCAAACAGCAACACTGCTACAGAAAAATGCGTAAATGACGGCATACACCTATAAAACAGACCAATATCATGAACAGCTGCGATGAATCCAGAAACTAAACTAACTATATGGTCCAAAAGTTTAAATTAATAGCTCAGTTTAATTGTAAGGAAAGGCTGGAGATTTACCATATTATGAGGGCTGCTGATAAAGCTTCCACACAAGACAATTCACATGGACGACCATAATTGACAGGGTTTGCCGCAACCAACCATGGCACTGCAATCAAGAAGTAAACCCTTATGAGAAGGACAGACTCTCTTAGGAAACAGTGAGCAAAAATATCAGTACAAAAATAACCCTTACTACTACTACTAATAATAATATAATAATAAAAGAGCGCAAAGTTACATTACAAATTCAAGAGAAGGTAGTCCAAAAGTCACAGGAAAATGACAACTTTAGAAATAATAACTGTTATAAGATTACATGATTTGTTATGGAATCATTTTGGTACGCTTCTAGAGTTCTGGATTTAGCGCAGAAAAGGTAGGAATGATCCCAGCAACTACAATCGGCTCATTGAAGTTACTCGAATATGATGGTCTTACAGAGACGAGGAGCGCCACAACGGAGTTTCACAAAAGGGACATCACTTAATCGCGCCCACGAACAATCAACAACAGCAAGTCCTTTTCTTTGCACGATATGACGATCTTCCTTGGAAACACACTGTGTTCCAACAGGGCTGAAAGAAGATAACAAGCATGTAGTAACATCTGTATCCCAAACAACAATTACTTAAGCAAAGTATGTTTTCAAAAAGTAATGTTTTGCGGCATATAGAAGTACCTGAGAACAACACCACCAAAACCATTGGTCACTCGCAACTCCTGCAAGACAAATAACATTTTCTTTAACAACAGCTCTACCTTCCATAGATGATGCAGTGCTGGTCTTTGCCAAAAAGTATGCATGGCGACAAAGAGAAACAAAGTTTACCAGCAGTCTGACTAGAATAAGATCGATGAAATCAGATGGTTATGGCTCGACATCCATGTGCATGCAGTGTTTGTGGTTTCTCTTTATTGTTGATTTTAGCACATGATTTTTGGGGAAACATGGTTCGGATGTTGTGAACCAAAAGAGGCCATACCTTTAATAGCCCAAATCTTGAAAGCTTACGACCAGTGCATCTTTTAACATCACATTGGCCAAAGTCCTATACAAAAACACAAGAGTTCACCCACAATGTAAGTGACTACTCCATAAGATCAAATGCAAAAAGAATGCAGTGGTTGCACCTACCCACATAGCAAGCTGAATTTTTGGACCTTTTGGTTCTTCTTCAGTGTCTAATGGATAGAAAATCAAAATGACAGTATTAGTAAGCTTTCAGTTGGAGCAACAATGTAACTAATTCAAGCATATGCAGCCTGCGAAATAACTATAGTCCTGACTGTCCTCTTTAACAGCAAAGTTTCACATTAAATAGCAAAAATTGAAATACTTGAAATGCGATGCATATTCTCATGCAAATGCATCACAATAGCATACGGTAATTAACCATCTCAATCAATTCATCATATGTCGAAAGCACAAACTATTCATAAATAGCCAAAAAAATCCGTGCCTTCCTGCCTTGGAAGTGATGTCCCGGGACCATCATCCCTGAAATTAAAGAGTAAAAAGAGGGGAATTTAGTCTTATTTGTTAGTACTAGTATTAAAATAACCCTCTTTTTTGCGGTGGTGTTACAATAATCCGAACTTGCGTGTTATAAGAGGGACTTGTGACTTCAACAGAAGCACATTTTATTACATTTTGTTCTACCTCTGCAGACTGCAGTAGGAACTAAGAACATAACAGCAGCAAGGAAATGGTTTCGCAGTAGAAAATCAAAATATAAATAATTCACGAAAACCCTTGATTGTTTATAGGCAGATAACTCGATTGCAAAAACCCTTGATTGTTCATAGGCAAATAATACGAATCAAAGACCTCAAATTTGTTTGATGTCCCACGAACATGATCTTAATATACTTATATACACATGTAAAATCTAGCACAATCAGACAAACAAAGAGTCCGGGAGTTCACCCTATTCCAAAGCCCTAGGCCGTAGACAAGCAACAGCAGGAATCAAAAATCTTTGAAAGCCCTCCAAAGGGAGAGGGTTTTGGACGGAAACATAATTCGGCGGTAGATAGCAAATCGCGCGCTATAATTACCACGCGGCTTCCTGCTTGGTGCGGCGCGACGACGAGGAGGAGGAGGATCCACGGCCGCGTCTCCGGTTGTATCCCATCGCGAAGCTCGCCGGCGACGGCAGAGGTGTAGATGGAGGACCGTCGTCGGCCTCGTGGTTCACCGGCGCCCCGCCTCACCCCGGACAGGACAGGATGAACCCCTATCGACTGCGCACAAGTGTTCGCCGGAGATCGACGGAGATGCCGCCGCCGCCGCCGCCGCCGCCGCGATGCCTCGTGCTCTTGCGGGAATTCGGTTCGGGTGGGGGATGCAGGGAGGAGTGAGTGGGCTGTGGGCTTGTGCGGCATGTAATAGCGGGAGTGGGCCGTAATAACTGTGGGCTAGTGGGTGGGCCGGCCCATCACACAGTCATACTACAGCGGCGAATGACGGGAGGAACGAACACCTGCGTTACACGAGGCACGCACGACTGAGCCGTGCCACTGCATGTGGGACCATGTGGTCGGTGAGATAACTGGCTACAAATACCCAACTAATACTCCCTCCGTTTCGAAATGTTTGACACCGTTGATTTTTTAGCACATGTTACATGTTTGACCGTTCGTCTTATTCAAAAACTTTTGTGAAATATATAAAATTATATGCCTACATAAAAATATATTTAACAATGAATCAAATAATAGGAAACGAATTAATAATTACTTAAATTTTTTTGAATAAGACGAACGGTCAAACATGTGCTAAAAAGTCAACGGTGTAAACATTTCGAAACGGAGGGAGTATATAATGATCCCTCCGTTCCAAACAATAAGGCGTTCTGAAGAAAAATAAATATTCACAGGTTTTGCCTAGTAATTAAACTTCTAATATAGTAATATATACTATTTGAAGGTATTTTCATATGATATTATTTTTATAGTTGTCATTCCAGTGGAAAATCTACACCAAAACCAACTAGAAAATTTCGCCACAAATCTGGTGGCAGTACTTACTCCTACCATGTACACGAAATCTAACTCTTGTTTAGGTGTAGAGCCAGAAATCTAGCTCTTTTGGGGACGGGAGGTGTACCATGCTAGTGTGTTGGACAAATGAATTTTGCAGCATAGTAGCTCGGATTTTGCCAAAACGCACAAACTCGAGTACAAATTAATTATACAAACTCGATTAATATAATAATATTACACAATCATCAGTTCCAACACTTAAAACCTGGCATTTGCTCTTCACAAATGCATCCGATACATCACAAACCTACAGCTATAGTGGGGAATTTAGACGAACTCGGCATACTAAGTTCAGACAGACACAGTTCGTCTTCCCCCAACAGTTGCACGTCGCACAATCCATGAAGCACCACACTACAGCTGAAGCTGCATCATCGTGCAGCACTAGCACACAACACAATCCTTTTGTAGCGTACCACGAAGCACTAGTGTCTCTCTTTATTCAACCACCGGAGAGACCATGCACACGGTGGATTCGATTCAGCAGCATTCCAGGGCGTTTCCCGCCTTGTTTGCCAGGCAAGCTTCCACGGCTTCGCCCACCGTGAGGAAGAACCATCCTTCTCCGATTCCGTCGACGAGCCGTGCCAGTTTCATCTTGTGGATCACCTGCCATCCAGGCTTGGCTATAGCCATCTGCAAGTGGGGTTGTTTTTCAGGACAAGGGCGAGAGCATTTCACCACAGCATCGGCCAGCTTTTCGGAGGAAAATATGCAGTGCAAACTCTATACATATGTTGGAAACCTGAGCATGTTGGTAACGCTCACCTGGATGCCGAGACACGCCAGCTCCTTGTGCAGTTCTTCCAGCGCCACAAGACCTGAAGTATCCATGTTTACCACATCTGCAAGATAGGAACTCACATGTCAGGATAATGCTAGGTAGAGATCACTCTGACAATAGCCAACTTGTGTAAATTTCATATACTTGACATGTCAAGAACGACCGAGCAAAATGCCTCGCGCTCATCGGTTACCCATCCCATGATCCTGGAAACAGGGAAAAGTGAATTAATACCGAGTCATCCAGCATTCAGGTATTCCCTTTTGTGATCCCAATTGCTTGTGATTAGTGTCTGTACTTTTCTTTGATGGAACTGGAGTTGACGAAGCAAAGGAATGATGTTTCAATGCGTACGGTCAGTACAGTCGGTGTTTCGTGAACCACTGGATACTGCTTGACGTTACAGAAGATTTCTGTGCCCTGAAGCCTCCCAAGAATCTCTACTTGAGGCCAAATCGACTGTATAATGATCTTTGCAAAGGAAACAAGAAGCTGCAAGAAGAGCTCCACCAAATCAGAATTGCATAAGCATGCATGCAAGAAATGAAACTTCAACATACTTCTGATGAATCAAAATGAAAAAAAAAATACAGTAGTAAACTTCAGATCAAATGAGGGATCAGTACTGCAACTGAAAGACCAATCTCCACTGATCCGAATAGAACACCAAGGAATGATCCCATGCATGTGAGGAAGTCCATCTTGTCGACTTTCCACAGGAAGCAGACTTCCTGCACATTGATCAATCCTGGAAGAGCTGACAGAATGATTGATGCAAGGATGGACACAGGTGTGTAGTACAGGAGCTTTGTGAGAAGCTCCAAGGCAACCATCACAGTGGCAGCCATGATAATGTTTGAAACGGTTGTCTTGCAACCAGCAGCGAAGTTCACAGCTGTGCGCGAGAATGAACCTGCAGATAATTACCAAAGTAAAGTTTGATGGTTGAACGAATCTAGGAATGTACATACGATCTGCAGATTTTTTATTCACCTGTTGCTACATAGCATGATGATAAGGATCCTGCTATATTCATGAAGCCCATTGCTACCATTTCCTTATTTCCGTCCAACCGATATCCATTGATCGCTGAAAAAGAGCGGCCAACAGCAACAGCTTCCTGTCATAAACAACACAGACCAGAATAGTTTTCTGAAACTCAGTTTTCATATGGACCTCCTATTGAGTGATTCTGAAATGCTTAGTGAGTTTCTACTAATAGCTGTCTGAACTCTGAATACTCCTTTAGGCTAGACTTATTTATACTTTTAATAATTTCTGCAGAAGTTCATTTAAGCTTATGCCTACTCACTTTTTTTTGTTTAAAATGAGTAGTTCACTTCATAGCTTTATATAAAATAAAAATAGTGGAGGAGTCAATTTTCTCTAATTAATGCCTGATGAGATTTTAGGCCGCACACGTTTCTGTTTGTAAAAGTATATACGCACTACTCTCTTGACAAATACGCTGCAGCACTAGGAGTATAGGAGTAAGTCACATTATTTCTTTTGAAGTGCATTATTTTTAGCAAGGAAGCAAAGTTTTGATACAACAACCTGAGTCTAATTTGTACAAAAGGCCTAATAAATTATAAGAATGAAGAAACAACAGGATTATCTTCTTCTTCTTCTCGTTTTACAGGGAGAGGAGCAGGAGTGCAGGACTATCTTTGAAGGGTAAACACGTACCGTCAGAGCAATCACAGCACAAACAAGAGCAATCTTTGCACATTCGGCAGCATAGCCTCCTTTGAGATCTATCTGCTCGACAGAACTTGCATTAATACCTGAATTCACTTTTTGTATAATCTTCACGCCGTGCTTATCCGCTCTTGTCGCATAGACAAACAGAGTAGATAGTGCAACTGATAGTACAGGTGCAATGGCAGAGACCCAAAAGAGTTTCTTGTACTTCCTTCCCTGAAAGTATTCGTTCTCCAAGATCAAGATCAAGATCGAGAGAGAGAGAGAGAGAGAGAGAGAGAGAGAGAGAGAGAGAGAGAGAGAGAGAGAGAGATCTTACAATGAATCTCATGGCAAGAATGAACATGAAAAAGGAACATCCAATGAAGACGTTCTCCGGATGCCACTGTCGTTACATGCCAGATATAAAATTGCATACAAAGGCAGCTCAAATATAAGGATTAATGGGGCAAAAGCACGCTTAGGTAACATCCTGACAAGTGAGAACTAAAGTTACAATTACTTATATATAGTATATACTCATGATTGCTTTGTTACAAAATCTGTAGAGAATAAATTTGCAAGGCTATAGTAAGTGTACTGGCTAAGTATATGTCTAAAGAATTGTAGTTTTATGCATGCATCAGCACTTCTCTCCTCATGATTACTGAAAACCTCAGCAACTGAAGAAGCAATTAGCTCATACTATTAAGTAGTAAGAAATACTAAGAACTATACTGATGAGCTAGCAGTTTTTTTGCTGTTGTCATGCATGCTGAATTGAGTAGCTAATTTCATTCATACAGCTTTATCTCTTTTTGTGTCGAAGGGAACTTGTACCTATTTTTTGGCTTGATACTTTGGACTAGTTAATTTCATATGTGTTAAAGCTTATAATTTTAATATTTTGTTTTAGTGATCATATTATGTGTTATCATAACTTCCAGGCATATGCCTGCGCATGCACAGGTTCAGATTGAATATAAGGGCAAATACTTACTGTTTCGTGAACTGAAACCCAGACTGCCTTGGTGACAGAGACGACATCAGTTCTATTTGTAAAATGACTAAGTCCAAGCAGCCCCTTCAGCTGCTGTAATCCAATCACAATAGCAGCTCCTCCCATGAACCCGACGATAGCAGCATGTGATAGAAAATCCACAAGAAATCCCAGTCTACAAGAATCAATGCAAAAGTCAGTTAGGGAATGTAAGTAAGCGCATTTTGATCAAAAGACGGCAGAGACACTACCTGAACAGACCAAATGCAAACTGAAAGACACCAGTAAGGAATGTCACGGTAAAGACCATTTTTCGGTAGAACGCTGGATCAACAGATGGGTCAACTATCTTCTGAATCATTGATGAAAGCAATAATGACACAATGGCAACTGGTCCAATGGCTATCTCCCTAGAGGACCCCGTCACAGCATATACAAGAGGTGGCACAACACTTGTATCTTACCACAAAATAAAACCATATGTCAAAAGAACATTTAGAACACATAAAACCAAGTTAAATCTGCAATGACTTACAAAGACCATACTGAGGATCCAGTTTTGCCAGAGTTGCATATCCAATGCTCTATAATAACAGGACAATAAAACAAGTCAGAAATATCTGAATAATCTAGGCGAATTCCAACCTTCTAAGTAAAGAAGTCAGTCACTACTGACGACTTGAGGAAATGCATCAAGGAATTGATAGAGAAATCCCAGGAGTTTGCTCGATTCAGACAAGATTCATACACAATTTGTGCATATATGATAACAATAGTTCCAGTCATCTCAAAAAACAAACAATTACCTGTGGAATGCTAAGGCTTGCAAGAGTTAGGCCAGCCATGAGGTCACTTCGAAAGAATTTCAGATTGTAGGTTTTCCACCAGTCAAGTATTGGAAACAGACCCTGTAGAACAGACATCACATACACAGACAGTGTGAAGCGCTTGTCTGCACCTTGCCAACGGAATGCCTTCCTGAACATGCCGGTGAGATCATTCCACAGGCTTGGGTGCTCTGGCCCTTGCAGCAGCAAGTCTGCAAAAGCTGTCCCTATGGGCACAGATGACTCACTTGCCATGGGCTCCATGGCTGGTTCTGAAGTGTTTGGGTGAACTCCCTGAGGAAATGGCTGAAATTCCATCACAATGTATCGGTGCCTCCAAGATTGGTGAGCTGTGAGGATGGCAAGTCCATGTGAACCTTAGGTGCTTCAGGTGAATTTGATTGCTCTAAGGTGGCCATACAAGGTGCCATTTATAGTGCTATGGTTTATGCTGCCACCTATTGAAGAGTGAAGGCAACACATCCTAAAGGGCATGTGCCTGCTGTTCTAAGGTCATATTCAGTTTGCAAAAATGAAGCTCCTTTCATTCCGATAATTGAATTGATAATGATGAGTTTTCTTTGGCTATGCAAGTGTGCTTCTACTAGCCTAATGATCGTGACTGCTTTGCAAAGTTTTTTTTTTTCTGACAGAAACGAATGATCCAATCCCTGGTTTGTTCTCCTCTTGTACTTTCCAGTAGTCCTGCAGTTAATTACTTGGGGTTTGTTATATGAACTTTACACTCAAGACTTTGGATAGATATCCATGCTATAAACCTCTAGCAGTGCATTTGCAGAACAATAAGCGGGCCCAAATTCCTTTTTATGAATGTTTATTCATGATTTGGTATTTAGGCTAAGGGCAAAACTGCTCAAGTAACAATTGTTAAATGTTGTGAATAAAGGGCACATCATGTTTGCTTAGAGTAACTTAACTGGTCCATTCTCATCTCACTGAAACTTGGACCTTTCACCTTTGCTTCTAGAAAAGCAACTTGTATGAATGCATAAAAATTATTCTGGTGCATTATTGTTTGTGATGGACCATGCTGGAGCTGCTCACAGCAACATTGCCCACAGAGGTCAGAACTTGAACTGTTAGTCCAAGTAGTGAGAATTGTCATGCCAACCTTCTCCAAGGGAGAAGCAGGCAGCACTTGAAAATGTTTTAAAATCCAAGGAGAGAATTCTCTAGTACAAGCTAGTTAAACTTAAATAGTTAAATTGGCTGTCTGGCTGATTGCGTTGTGTAACAAAAACTTTTTTGCTTTCTTCTAATATATTGACGTGCAATCCTTTTGCGTGTTCGCGAAAATAGTTAAACTTAAATAGAATGAGATTAATTATTCACTAAAATAGCATGTGCAACTTTCTGATTAGTGGGCTAAAACAATAGATCACCCTAGCACTCTTTTTAGGGAATACGCAAAGGCTTGCACATCTTTGTATCAAGGAGATAGTTCAACATCCGGCCGTGCTAACTAGCAGGCCACAGAAAAATTACATGGGTTTCTCCCAACAACTTTTGCGACCTAACAGAGCTACCGCGCTCAAACTACCAGTTGGGGCAGTTTGATCCCTGCAGTGACCCCAGGGCCGCGCTTCTTCGGCAATAGAGTTGATTAGTTGCACCCAGTTTCGGGATTTGATATTGAGGACCCGATTGTTGCACTCTTTCCATAGAACCCAAGCCACTAGGATCACTATGGAATCAAAACCTCTTTGTAGTTTCTGGTTGAAGCCTTTCCTCCAAGCATTCTGTAAGGCTACAATAATCTGGGTTCTGGATTAGCAATAAAGATGTCCTGGGCTACTTCCCTTATTGGGGTGCATGCACCAGTTGTTTCACTCAAAATCTTCTTAGCTTGATGGAGAAAAGTAGACAATTCACTTATACGAGAAAGGGTAGACAATTCACTTATACTTCAATACTCTCCCTCATGTCTAGGTCCCTTTGGCTTCAGATGTTGAATATAAGTGGGCATAAATCATTAAACTGAAACTGCGCTAGCTAGGGTTCGAACTTGGAACCTTTGGGCTCTAATAACATACTGAGTTGCATGCAATGGCCAGTTCATTTAAAAGCTTAAGTTGGTGGAACTTCAACACCATTTGCCAACCAAGAAACTAAAGATACAACATCCATGGACAGAGAAGAATATTACACACAAAATAACAGCCAAATATTTTTCTCTTTTACGAAAGATCAACAAAAAGGGAGTTAAATTGTATTAGAACTTTGGACAATTTTTCATAAGTCGAGTTAGTTCACAGCTGATTCTTGTTTGTATTCAACTTTGACCTCCATTGACTTTCAAAGAACAAATTAGGTAAACTTTACTGTAGCAACAGCATAATAATTGATAAGTGGATAACAGAAACTCTGATCTGTAGCACACACACGGCAGGGGGCTTATAACTGAAAAGTGCCTCCAACCTTGCCTGCATATAATATAAGCAATGATTGCTGAATCTGCAGTAGTCAGATGCTTGACACCACAAATCCAAAGCATTTATCGACCTCTCGTCCTTCCTTTATGCAAGATCTGACGTATAAGATCCTAAAGTATATGGAGCTTGCAAGTGCCCCGACACTTATCGCAAATTAAATGGTCCGACCTATGTTTTGAATTAAGTTGACCCTACCAATCAAACGCGTGAAAGGAACAAATGGAGCTTGGCAACCATGGTAACCACATTCCTGGTCTATTCTCCTTTAATTTAGAGGGGACATAATGAGCATCACACCAATTCCAACCCAGATCTGGATGCATAACGAGCTACTGCACAAAATCCATCATACAACAAACAAAACAGTACTCTGCGTGTATCAAAAAGGAATTAGACACTTGGAAGTGGTGTGACCACTATTATATGGAGTATTATGGAGTGAAGATTGCCCTTGGTCGAGATGTACCTTTCTCACGTTTGATTTCAGAGTCAACTCCCAAAAAAGGGGGAAAAGTATGCATAAAATGTATTATTGATATAGCACCCATAGGCTGCTTTCCCCATTCATCAGGGTGCGAATTTCTGCTTTAAAAAAAAAAACGTAACTTCGCTGCAGTAAAAACAGCACTTGTTTCTCGAGGAAATCGGAAACGAACCTGAGTACGAGATCAATCTGGAATTGGAAAAGCACCTCGTTCCCCATAGCGGCCTTCCGCCGCCTTCTTTGCCCCTCATCCTCCTCCCGCCGCCTCTTCTTCCCCCTCTCGCTCGCTCGCCATTTGCCGCATGGCTTGATACAATGATACTACTACCCCTGCACCGATGGGTTCGCCGAACTAGGGCGGCGCGGGATCGGCGGCCGTCGCCGGGAACTAGACGAAGGAACCCCATCAACTTCTCCGTGTTCGCACCGATGGGTTCGCACGACGGCGCCGTCGCCGTCGCCGGAAGGGAGGCGAAGGACACGCGTCACCGGCTGGTGATTATAACTAAGCAGGCCGTCCGAGTGGGCCCACAGCAAATCCTATGATGGGCCGAGACACTGAACAGTAGGCCCATTTGGCCGGGTCTTTGTTGTATTTCAGTAAGTAAAGTATAAAAACCCAGGTTACGAAGAAAAGGAAAAACAATCATCTGTGTTCGAGTACACTGATCCAATATAGTTAGTGGCATTAACCATCACAAAGTATTTACTACAAATTACAGTGGCAACAACACATTTATTAGTGAGCGCATTGGTTACTACGGAACCATCACACTGCAGTTGTTATCGCAGTAACATTTCTTCGATGCTTACTGCCTGCAAAGCATTTTTCTAACTTCTATAGACATTGTTCACTCTGGAATATTGAATGGCTGGATGCAAAGCACTAAGCAGCATCACTTATGTCTTAATATGGTGTTAATCCTACTAAGTACTACTAACACACACACCTCAGCATTCCAGAGCAGTGCCCTTTTGCATAGTTACACAGGCTTCAACCGCTTCACCTACTGTCAAAAATATCCAGTCTCCTCCTACCTGGTCAACCACACCTGCCAATTTCATCTTCTGGATCGCTTGCCATCCTGGGCCGGCAATGGCCATCTGCAGAGCAGCAGAGAGGTGTTTCAGCACAAGAACGAGAGCATTTTACTAGGAAATTTTGGGAGCTAGTACTTATATCCATCAGTCAACTACTTCACCTGTATGCTAAGAGATGCCAGCTCCTTGTGTATCTCTTCCAAGGCCGAAATCCCTGAAGTGTCAATGTTTACCACATCTGCAAATCAGAAAGATGGGTCAGATTTTCTTTTTCTGAATTGTTCAGTAGCACCAGTTTTCGTTAGAAAATGGTGAAGTTATTTGTGTTTTGTAATTTGTACTGACTTGACATGTCAAGGACAACAGATTGCACCCTCTCCCTGGCCTTCTCATCAGACGTCTCGACTTCTTCTCGTATCCATTCGATGATCCTGAATGAAGAACACATATTTGAGCATTCCTACTCAAACATTACAAACTCATATAAATTTTATGAGATTGACCATTCCTACCTTTCTTTGATGAAAGTGGAGTTGATAAAGCACAGGAATGATGTATCAATCCGAATTGTCAATACACTCGGAATCCGGCAAGCAACAGGGTACTGTCTGATGCTGCAGAAGATGTTTGTCCCCTGAAGCCTACCAAGAACCTCTACCTGAGGCCGGATTGACTGTATGATGATCTTGGCAAAGGAGATGGCGAGCTGCATTGAGCGATCGATCCATACCAAGTCATACAACTGACATAAAATTTGCACAAATTTCGACTCGAAACCAAGCTGCATCTATGATCCATCCGGCATTGATCTTACCGCTACGGCGAGGCCGATCTCGACTGATCCGAAGAGCACGCCGACGAACGCGCCGAGGCATGTGAGGAAATCCATCTTGTCGACCTTCCAGATGCTGAGAGCCTCCTTGATGTCGATCAGGCCTGGAAGTGCCGACAAAATGATGGAGGCCAGCACGGCTATGGGTGTGTAGTAGAGCGACTTCATGAGCAGCTCCAGCGCGATGAACACCGTGATGGACATGACGATGTTGGACACGGTTGACCTCGCGCCGGCGCTGAAGTTGACGGCTGTTCGTGAAAATGAGCCTGAAAAATTTTGTTGACGTCTGTCAGACACCAGCAGTATTTATTTGATTTGATTTGATTCTTCTTCAGAAGACTGCATATAGGTAGCTGTAATTGTGATCACCTGTTGCAACGTAGCACGAGGAGAGAGATCCGGCCACATTTGAGCATCCCATGGCGATCATCTCCTTGTTCCCGTCGAGTTTGTACCCTCTTATCGACGCGAATGATCGTCCAACAGCAATGGCTTCCTGCAAAAGGTAACACAAGAATGTCAATAAATCACTGCATCTTCATCTCTTCTTTTCAATTTTTTTTTCTTCTCTTTACTATAATGACCTGTTCATGGGCCAGCAGGCCCATCTGAGGCCCAAAATTTTTTTGGACCTTGGGCTTACATTTTGGGCTGAAGTCTTTTCAGGCCCAGATAAGCCCACGAACAGGCCCATAGAACGCCCTGATGGTAACTGAAGAATTTTACTGCTACTTACCGTGAGGGCGATGACGGCGCAGATGATGGCGGTCTTGGCGCAGTCGACGGTGTACGGCCCGCTGAGGCGAAGCTGGCTGGCGGAGCTCGGGTTGAGGCCGGCGTGCACCCGCTGGATGATCTTGACGCCGTGCTTGTCGGCCCTCGTCGCGTACACGGCGGCGGTGGACAGGATGACGGACAGCAGCGGCGAGATGGCCGACAGCCAGAACAGCTTCTTGTACCTCCTCCCCTGTGGCCACATTTTGCAAACCCGTTTCATGTGTTAACTAACATGCATGTGTGCTCGATCCTCTGATGATCATCAGATCATGGGAAGATTAAGATATGTTTCTTTTCTCTTAAACAGCAATTGGATCGGAAGAGATATTTGGTTTGATTAATTGATTGTTCTTACAATGAATCGCGTGGCGAGGATGAAGATGAGGAATGAGCATCCGATCAAGAAGTTGCCGGGGTGCCACTGCAATGCCATTAGATAAAAGAGAGAGCACATTAGAATATTAGATACAGCAGTTCATCTTTTATTTTCTTCTTTGTCTGAATATATTCAGACAACAGTTGAGCCGAGCATAAGCGGTGGGGGGTTGACATAAAGGCACGCGCTATGTTTGTCCATTAAGTAGTATCCAAATAGTAAACAGTGCACGCATGTGGTCTTGTTCTTCATCCACTGAAGCCTGATTATTCTGTACTGTCAAGTTGCATATTCATTCCAAGTACTCGATTTTGATTGTTTATAGGCTTCTGGTTTTGCTCATAAATTCTCTTTGCTCAATCGTGTACCGACCAGGGTTTCCCAAACCACCGGGGCCAGGGTTATCGCGCCCCGGCGGTAAGCACGGTTACCGCGCGGTAACCGTGGTAACCGTGAAAAACCGTGCAAAATTTATCAAAAATTCAAATTATTTTTTAAATTTATTTGAATTTGAGAAGGTTACCGCGGTATTTATATTACCGTACCCCCGCGGTAAGCGTGGTAACCACGGTAACCGCCGGTAACCGCGCGGTAAGGTAAACCTTGGTACCGACTACTGAATACCAACAACCTATGCAACATCCAACGATCTTTTCTAGGATCATTATATAATATATAACTATTAGTAGTAGTTCAGGACGATACACCAAATTGATTGAGCTGGGATTAGGTGCTAATTGTTGTCTTTATTTATCTCATTTTACTATGTTCAGTCAATCCAGGCACTGAAAACTACAAAATTGGTTTAAGGATTCGACAAAAAAATATCCAACCCAGAAAGGGTTGCTCGTTTGTGATGCGTGCACCTCTGACCTCCCTGCATATCACGGGGAGACTACTGAAAACCAACTTGTCCCTCCCAACCAATATCCAGACTATAATAATGCACAAAAGAACAACTAATAAGCCCCGAGTCTTTTGTCCAATCATATCGGTTGTAACAACGAAAGGGACGCCATTTCTTTTCAGGTAGCATTCAGTAAACAGGTTAATTTTCTAGGAGCCTTTGAAATGCAGATGAGAAGAAACTAACAACCGAGTCATGACAAAAATAAGCAGACAAATAATGTCGAGAGCGATGTGTGCATGTCCATGCCGTCGTTGTATGTCCCTACACTTTAGTCGATCGTTCATTCTCCATGGACGATTATTTCATCACTGTGCATCTATTTGTCTTTGTTCTTGTTCGGCTTAACTGTAGTAAATGATTCTGTTCTACTGGAGTCTGGAGGCTCACCGGGTCTCGGAGTGCAGAGCAGACAGCCTTGATGACGGAGACGACGTCGGTGCTGTTGGTGAAATGGCTCAGCCCAAGCAATCCCTTCAGCTGCTGCAGCCCGATCACGATCGCCGCTCCTGCCATGAACCCAACGATCGCCGCGTGCGACAGGAAATCCACCAGGAAACCCAACCTGCGGCGTAGCAAAAACGATCGTTGGTAGCCTGAACAAGTATAGCAACTGGAGTGGTATACAGAGAGGTTGGTGTTCGTCGTTGTACCTGAACAAGCCGAAGGAGACCTGGAAGACGCCGGCGAGGAAGGTGACGGTGAAGACGAGGGCGCGGTAGGTGACCGGATCGACGGCCGGGTCGACGATCTTGGAGACCATGGACGACAGCAGCAGCGAGACGACGGCGACGGGGCCGATGGCGATCTCCCGCGACGTCCCCATGACGGCGTAGATCAGCGGCGGTACCACGCTCGTGTCTTGACGATGGCCACATAGCAAATAGCAAAAAAAAATGATGCAAGAATCGTTCAGGAAAAATGAGGAGAAAATTGAGTTGTTTTTGTGCAACGAAGCTGAAGTATTGATGCTTACAAAGACCATACTGAGGGTCCAGCTTGGCCAAATTGGCGTATCCAATGCTCTGCAGGATGGATCATATCCAAGGGATAGCATATGTCAGATAAGAACGAGACAGCTCTCCCCAATCCCCATCTCACTATTTCTAGGCAAAAACTATGCATGCTCTGCTCCAATGTTCTTCTGTTTTTTACTTCTTTTTTTTCTTTACAAATCGTCTACATCTATCATGATTTTTCAGACTCCAAGTTTTTGATGCTGTAGAAATCATTAATGGTGTCAAGACAAAATCTGTTTGCAGTTGCTTTTCTGTTATGCTGGTTACTGCTACAGTATTATGGGAAGGGTATAAAAAAAATAATAAAAGTTACTACGTACCTGAGGAATTCCAAGGCTGGCAAGAGTGAGGCCTGCCATGACGTCACTCCTGAACAACTTGAAGTTGTAGGTCCTCCCCCACTGCAGCACGGGGAACACGGTCTGCAGCGCCGTGAGGGCCCACCCCCACCGCGCCGGCGGCGTACGGCCTGCTCCTCCGCCGCCGCTCGCCCGCGGCCGGAACGCCTTGCGGACGACGCCGACGAACTCCTCGCGCACGCCTGGCGGCTTGGGGCTGCTCAGCACGAGCCTGGCCGTGTCCGGGTGCCTGGATACACCGAATGTGGACACCGTCACCGGCGTCTCGACCGCCGCCGCCGTGTCCTCCATGGCCGCCGCTGCTGGCTACAGTAGCAGCTACTGAAGTGTTTGGGGGAACTCCTCCTCGCCTCGCTGGCTTTAAAGCCGTAGTCTCGGCGACCACGACTCCTGGCGTCTGGCCGGGCGCGTCTTGGAGGGGAGAATCTCTTGAAGGCGAGGTGACACTGGCACGCGACGACGATCGCACGAGAGGTTGCGAGCGAGCGAGCGAGAGCTTAGAATTCCTCTCGTGTAAGCATCAAATGTATGCCCCCGATCGCGATGCGATTCTCGGGAACGCGTGGATGGACGGATGCACACAGGAGGAGAGAGGAATTCTCGTCTCGTCTCGTTTCGCTCTCCTCTCCACTGAGAGGAAGGGGCAGCGCTGCAGGTGTGGGGAGGAGGAGCAAATTGACCTATTGCTATTTATGGGCTCGGGTGGTGGCACGGTCATGGACACGGACACAAAGCAGGCCACATGCATCGGTGGGCGCCCGGGCGGCAATATTTGAGTGAACTTTTTTATATTCGGGTATGATTGGCTATGCTGCCTTGCATCTGGTGACCAGTTCGGAACAAACTGCCTCCATTAATTCCAGATTCTAGCTATTCCTTCTCATGATAGTAAAAATAAAAAGGATCGGTCGTGTCTAGCTAGGCATGTAATTTGCCTGGACCCAGATAACTGGTCTTTTAGTCTCTTCTAGCTAAGGACAAACCTGACATATAACTTGAGCAGAGAATTGATTCTTGTGAAGAGTGGAAACCACAACACAGCAGAAGTCGCATGACACCCCAGGTTGTTGGGCTGGACAGAGCGAGAGCGGTTTCATCTTCTCTCCCACCATTTCTCTCTCCAACCCAAAGCCATAGATAGAGTCTAGCGTACTATATGTTGTATTTTTTTTTACTTCTTAACAACGGGGTTTTTAGTGTAGGCGTGTGGCTTGACATTTTTTTTTCTGACATAGCTTCTTAGGGTTATAGTCTTATGATTTTTTTCTGCTATATTAGTGTGAAACATTCTTGTGCGGGTTATTTAAAAAGAAAACATGATACCCCACATATACCTTCACTAGATTAGAATACCATACATCACAGTTTACTAGAAATTTCCCTATAGGAGGAGAAAACAAATAATACAATGAGAAAGGATCATATCACATGGTGGCATACATCTAACTTTTGCAACCGGGGTTCAATATTTCAGAACAGAATTTCTGAAATTCCTATAATAGTGGGTTTATGGGTCCCTCAGATGGGATATTATTTTGGCAAAAAATCATTTTTAATTAAAAACTATATTGAAATGTAAAAAGAAACAGTTCAAAGTTTTAACTTATTTTAGTTCAAAGTTTTGTTTCTATCCCCCTTCCCCGCGGAAATAAATGCGCAAAAAGATAGATTGAACCCGTGTTGCAACAAGAGAACAGTGAACAGAACCAAAACTAGAGCATTTATCCAAACAAATATTGTTTTCGTGCGAAGTGGCAACTACTTTTGGTGAGATAAGCCGCGGACAGCTTGGCAGAGGTGGTACTCTACAACAACGATGACATGGCAGCGATGGACATGTTCATGTTGAGGAGACATAGATTGTCCGTCCAGCATGAGGCAAGTGCTTGGCGGTGATAAGACGGTTGTGTGGACTAGTTTTATCCCCTTCCTTTGCTCATGGCAGAGTGAAGGAGCTTTTGGCATGGAGATGGAAAAGGCGGGCTAGCTAACAATGTTTGAAGCGATGAGGAAAAACTTGAAGTTAGTCTTCTAATATTTTATTTTCGGTTGTTTGTTTTTCTATGTATCGGTTATGAGATGTGGAGTGTATGCACTCGTGTAACTTTTGGTTGTATATATATCCATTTATGGAATAGAGGCTGGATTTTTATCCATTATTAAAAGAAGTTCTCAACTCAAGTATTCTACAATCTTCAACAATTGTCATACTTTCTACAGTTATTTTGCGAGGTGGCAAAAACTTCCTTAGTTCCTTGCTTTTAGAGTTCAAACCTCGATCCAATCATCCGAAGGATCGAATTGGCATGAAAGACTATTGGATGTTTTCCCTTCATGTCAAAGTTCTACTATATATTCTCAAGTACCACTACTTGTTTGAAACAGTATTGCTCTATGCTACTGCATACAAAACAAAAATTAGTAATGTTAGGGATCATGGAAAGATGACTCATATTTTGTTAGAAAATGCAAGACATAATTAACCAATATGCTTCACCCAGCCTTGACAATCACACTTGCATTGAAGTTGTCCTTTCATGTTTCTTATTCCCCAAATCAACAAAATTGAATGCTACTAAACTATTGGTTCCCTAAGTTGTTTCTTTTGTCCCTATCATGTTTCTCTACTAGTTTCACAGCCTTTCTATTGTTGTATTTTGACAATCGTAGCATTCACAGATTAATAATCGAAAGTTGCACAATGACACAATTAATAAGGACTAGGATTGTTCTAAAAGAGGACACGATTCTCTGCTCCGATAGAATGTATAGGCAAGCCAATGCTTTATAGCCTCCCTATACTGGTTCAACTCGCAAAATACCCACACCCCACATGCGCACACTCACTACCACCACACGTGGTCTAAGCATATATCGTGGCCAGTGCGGGTGGTGCCGGCAACGGAGGAAGGTTGACGCAGGTGCCGCCGGGATGTCGGTGCGGGCGACGGCAGGGAGGTCGGCATGGCCGATGGCGGGAGGTTGACGCGGTGACGGCAGGGAGGTTGGGTGACAAAGGGTGTGCTACAGAGGCATGCGAAGGATGGCCAGTGAGGGGCGTCGGTACAACGATGTCTATGCACTGATAGAGGATGACCGGTGATGGAGCAATGGAGCAATGGCTGTAGATCGACAGGGGGTGGGTGAGGTGTTGTCGGTGATATGGGCCCGGGAGTACGCAAGATGGAGGGAAAGAATCCTTCCATCTGGCCATGTGGCCGCGCGGCCTGTTGCCCCCCCCCTCCCGGGGGAGAACGAGTGCTCGTGAAGCGGCCAAGGGGCCTCGGGTTGCCCTGTTGCACCCCTCGGGCCCTTGGAGCGCGCTGCCCCGAGGCCCCCATGTCACGTCCCAAAATGACTCTAAAATACATCCTCTAAATTATGCCTAGAATAATTAAAATCCGTGTGAAAGCCTCCAACAATTAAAATGTGCAAAGTTAAAAGTCAAATAAGGCTTAGAGGATTTTTGTATATTTCCTAAAAGCCTAAAATGTGTAAATAAATTTTAGTGGAATTTTCAGAGTACAAATAATAATTATTAAGAAATAAACAAAGTTAAAATGATTTTATAAAAAGAAAAACCCTAAAATCCCTCCTTCTCTCTAATGGGCCGAATTCGGCCCATCTCCCTCCCCCTCTCTCTCCTCTCCCCGCGGCCCACTCGGCCTCTCCCCGCGCACGCGCTGCTGACGGGCGGGCCCGCCCGCCACCCTCGCTGACGGGTGGGGCCCACCCGTCATCCCCTTCCTCCCGCCGCCTCCCCCGCGCCCTAGCGCCGCCGCCGCCGCGAATCCCGCCGCCTCCCGCCGTCCCCGCGTGCAATAAAGTGGGGGGAATCACTCCCCGTGATCCCCTCTCCCTTTCCCCCCATTTTTCCCTCTCTCTCTCTCGCGTTCAAACGGGCGGATTTGCCCCCGCAAATCTCGCTGGCGCCATTGATGGCGGCCGGACCTCCCGCGCCGGTTTCCTTCCCCTCCGGCCGCTCTCTCCCCCTTCCAACCCTATTTAAACCCTCCCCGCACCTCCTCCGTCCGTTTCCGCCTCTCGCCGCCCTTCCTCCTCGCCGGATTCGAGCTCGCGACGTCGCTCTCTCTCTCCGCCGTCGCCGCCGAGCTCCGGTCCGCCGCCGCCGTCGCCCCGGACCGCCTCCCACCTCGGCGCCGCCTCCTTCGGCTTCGCTGCATCCTCGCCGACCTCGTCCACCTCTCCGTTTCGGTCGCCGACCACCGGAACGCCGTCGACCCCGTCGACCCGAGCCGCGCCGCCGCCTCCCTTCGCTCCGGCCGCCTCCTCCGTCGCCACCGTCGCCCCGGGGTGAGCCGTGGACCGTCGCCTCCTTTCCCCCTTCCCTCCCCTCTCTCGGCCGCCGCTCCGCCGCGCTGGTGGTCGCCGGCGGCGTCCATCGGGGCTCCGGCGCGCCGCCTCCCGCCGACCGCGCCGGCGTGGCCACCCTCGTGCGCGCCGAGTGGCTGCCGCGTGGGGCCCGGCCGTCAGCCGCCCGCGCCCTTGGGTGCGGCTGACGCGTGGGACCCACGGCGCCGGCCGGTGCGAGCCCGGGTGCGCCCGGTCCACCGTGGACCGTGAGGCTGCCGCGTGGGCCCCACTCCCGTGGACCCGGTCCGCGCGCCCCCTCCCCTCGGCTGACGCAATAAACACTTTTTAAATAAAAATTTTAAATGAAGAAATTCGCAAATATTCATTTAAAGAGCATATAAACTTCAAATGGCCATAACTTGGCCATTTGAACTCGGAATTGGACCGTTCAAGTCTCTAATTTTTCCTTAAGAAGTCAAGAACCCATTTTTGTGCTTTGTTCCTGCTTGTTATATGGATTTTATTAGAGTAAAAGCCCTTTTATTTTCCGTTGGTCGTGTAGACGCTGCAGCTTCGGAAGATCCGCTCTTCGTGGAGGTTGAAGCCGACGTTTGGGAAAGCGAGCAAGGCAAGTCACATCATCCTTGAACATATTGAATCCCAGTTTATAAAATTATTTTGATTTAAATTATTGCATTATCGCTTTATTTAAATTCCCGCGTTATCACTGTTTTATCTAGCCATGCCTATTTACCTTTGTTATGACCTTATTATTGTTATTGTTATTATTTCCTTGTTCACCCTAGAATAAACAAAACCCCAACTAGTGGACACTCTACTCATGGTACCACTAGTATGATTTTAGGTAGATGCTTCGCTGGTTAATTAGGCAACATTAGGTGGTTTTACAACTCTAGACTTTGGGATATTCATATCACCTGGACACTATGGAATTGTTGGATCATTGTGGAATTGGATTCACACCTCCCCTCTATTCAAAATCCTCAAAATGGTTTTAGGCTGGGCTCGGGGTGCATGGTTTTGATAGTAGCACCTCGGCCATATAAGGACCGGTCTTCGGGCCTCTGTTGCAAAGCACTACCGTACTTCCACATGTCTAGTGGGTAAGGCTTAGTTTGTGGCTCAGTCTGGTTATAAACAAAAGTACACGGATGGAGATGGACAAAGTCGGGGGTCGATGGACATCTCTAGGGCAAATGAAGGCTACACGAGCTACGGCCCGGTAGTCGAGATGTCATGGCATAGGGCCGATGTCCTGCTGCTAGGGGCTCAGTCCTGCCTACCTGTCCCGGGGGTTCCGGCCGTAGGTGGGGTTGGGTCGGTACTCTTGTTTATGG